TAAATTGTGAGTCAGGCCTCTGTCTATCTTGACTCAATAGAAGCCGCAAGTTAGGCCCCTTCATTCTTGCATTTCAGGCAGGATAAAAGACCTTTCCGGTTACTACGAGGGAGCTTTCATCTTCCTCGGCGTTGCTCAGTTCCTCGGTTCTCTAATGGCCCTAACAGCCATCGTCCATCGGAAGTATGCCTGCGGTCGGCCGGCGGGTGCCCTGGGAGAGGAGGATTTGGACGGAGTGGTGCGCAGTCTCCTGCGTTCCCCCGACAGCGTCGATGCTGACCTCAGTTCAGAGGGTGAGGAGGAGGAGACCAATCAGAAAGGCGATGCCAGCATCGACTGTCAGTTAGACGAGACTGACAACAATGATTCCACTCTTACGGAAGTGGAAAATTCAGAAACAGAGCACGTCCATCGGTGCCCTAGTTAACACATTGGGTTATCGCCTACTTCAGTGCTTTCGCCTAAGGTACTTGTCCGTCTCTCTGTCTCTGTTTCTATGTCCAGTTTATCCACCAAGGCAAACCAAGTAACACGGTCTGTTGTGAGAACGCATACTAAGTGAGACTATTCGGGAAAAATAAACACAGGTTCTAAAATATAATATCCGTTAGCAGGGGGGTTTTAATATTCAGCATCTTGCAGCGTTCTACCAAGGTTTTTCTCTCAGGCCAGGATGCCGGCTTTCTGATGCACGTCTCTCCAGTTGTCGGCAAAATACTTACTTGCCAAAATGGCCTCTTTTAAATGTTTAATCGCCTTCGTCGTCCTCGATGTTCCAAACACTGTTCCCAGAAGGCCCACGCAAAACTAGCCTTTCTTAAATCCATTTTTTTCCAGTAGCCTGCGTCTACTGAGCACGTTTTTTGTATGGCCGCCTAAACAGGCCAGAGTAATAGGAACGCCCTGTGCATCTAAAAAAATGTGACCGGATAATACACTTCAGGAATGCTAAATATTCAAATGTCTTAACCCTAGCACAAACTGTAACCTTAATCGTAATCTGAGCCTTATTCTAACCCCCCAACTTTGATCTTAACCCTGAACTTAAATTTCAACTTTTATCCTCACCTTACCACTAAAGCTTATTTTCAGTGAATTTGGCGCAATGTCCCATTTATTGTGGGCGGTTCCGGCCGTCGTGCTCAGAATGGCCTACGCGCGGTTTTTATGACCAATAAGCCGCCATACACAGAGATGTGATTTATGAGAATGTGTCACAAGACACCTACCACCCCTCGACTTGAGGGTCCCGCTGCACACATATACTGGCCAACGCCAGCTCTAACCTCTCCATGAGTATTAATTGTTTACTCGTGATCAAGGTCATTTTGACGAAAGCAATTAGCATTAAGGAGCATATTTTCAATCCAAGTTGCGACAGAATGTCTGCAGCCGTCTACAACTGGACGGTGTTGTTCTTGTTGTTGCGGGCCGGCTAATTGCTTTTCTCGACAGTGCACTATACCGCAAAGTCCTTTCCAAACGTCTAGACCAGGGGTAGGCAACCTTTTTAACTCAGAGAGCCAAGAAAGCAGATATTTGGAAATATATTTCAGAAAGAGCCATATAGTATATTTTAAAATGATTTGGCCTGATGATTGTAATGATCCGAGTACAACCCACTACTTAGACCCCTAAAGAGTAACCAAAATTATAAAATCTGAAGGTTCTGAAAGAACCATACGCGATTATCAAAAGGGCCATATATGGCTCGCGAGCCATGGGTTGCCGACCCCAGGTCTAGACCATGCCGCTTCAATTGAGTTAAGTTTCGTTAAGCTACCAAGTTGAAGACTACCTCTCTCGTGTACACCAACATCCTTAGAGGTCACAGGACCCGTACAGCTGGGGAAAAATCAGGCTACTGCTCACTATCACTATTATGAGGTGCCTGTTTTGTGGTCGTAGGGCTTTCAATCATGTCAGTAAAACATTCCCATTTACTTTCCAGCAAACATTGGTAAGTTCAGCAGGTAGTTTGTTGGCTGTTTCGACAACATACAACCATTGACTCTCGATGAATGTACATGCGAACGGTCTTTAGCTGTCATTTGGACTTGTGTACAAATAACCTTTAAATAGAGGTAGAGGGCAAACGCGTTTAAATAAAAAAGCGGACGCAGAGATCCCCAGAGCCTCGCGATATAAGTTCTGGTATTTGGCTCTGACATAAACCGAAAATGAATAGAGCGAGGGGGATAAAATTTCGGCAGTGGGGTCGTTAAGCCTACGGCCAGAATTTTGGCCCCTATGATAATCCATTATGTATTGTCTTCTCGGAGTGACAGGGGCTCATCCTCTATGAGGGTACTGACAGGTCTAATGGATCCCCGAGAGGATGTAATCAGTCTACAAGTTATGATCCAGATAATAAGTGGTCATAGACTGGAGAATTTTATCCAATATACAGGCAGCTGAATAACTGGACTGAACAGTTCGACCGTCAACATCGACAAGGCGTAGCATATGCCCCACAGAATGGATGTAGCTCCAACGAAACGCACGCAAGGCAATTTACAACGATGAAAACTTGCGTGACTTCTGCCAATTCCTTTATTTTCGTGCTCAAATTACTTTGATGGTGCGATGATGCGAATACGACGGAGGTAGGCGAGCGTGCAGTGGCTGCCAAAGTTAAACAGCCCGTCTTCGCGTGCCACACATGACCCGATCTCTCTTACACGTACCAGGCTATTGGGAGGTCAGCAAAAGTCTCTCATGCATACGATGTTTTCAGGGAGGCCATTCTGAAGAGAAGCACTGTAACCTGATTATCAGCTCTAAGAAAGACCGACTTAGCAACCTCCCAGGTCACGACTCGTCAGAACAGCTTTAAGTGCCGTGTGCTAATAGACAAGGAAGAGGTTTTCCCCAGCAGTCGGTCTTACACTATCTTCCTTATCCCATGCACTAGTTAACTAACTGTGCCCGAAAGGCAACCGGTGATGAGATTAAGTTTAGTGGCTGGCACGGCGTTAAGGTCTATGTCTAAGCCTTAGGCATGCCGGTGTAGGCACACCTTAGACTCTAAGGTGTGCCTACACCCGCATGGTTGTTAGACTTCCGGGGATTGCGTGCAGACGGGCAAGTGTGTGGTGTGAGCCAGTTTGGCGTCCTGGTCCAGCGAAGCCAAACAGAACTACCAACACCAACTAAGGCGATCGTTTGGGCTTAAGTTCAGTTTACTTGAGGGCAATGAAGGTGTGTACCTTGGAACTCCTGATTGGTTAACATGCACGTCGTGATATAAAAAACTTTAAAAGGGTTTCCATAAGAGTGTAAGAACTTTGTCCAGATAAATGAAACGAAATACAGTAGTCGCCGGCTATTAAGCCCACCTCGGGCCCAGACCAAAT